AAAGCGGGGAGGCTGGCAGGAGCTTTCGGCAGGGTTTGTCCCCACTTGTTCAGCCTGGTAGCACTGGCAGGGTGAGCATGCTCAAGGCTAAACCAGGTCTGGGAGGTTCACACCTACCAAGGACCTTGGGGCAATTCGCACCTCTCCCCACTAGCTTCGTGGCATGCAATATAGGCATCATGATGTGTTCTGAATTTTGCAGAATATTTTTGGGTCTGTGGGTGACTCTCATTACAGGCTTGGTTTTGCTCATTTCACAGTAAATCTAGAGCACCTCAACTTCAATAGAATTGCTACAGCCACCCATTTGTCCACTGCACGCAGCTCGGAGTAACTATTAATAATTCCAGCCACAGGGAGGAACCAAACTGGGGAGCCCAGCACCCAGCTCGTGCAAAGGCTGGCAGTAAAGCAGAGTGCTCAGTCCTCATTCCAGCTGAGGAAGGTTTCTTGTCATTGTGAATTCCACGTGGGCAGAGTGCTTTAAACTGAATATCCTCCCTTCCTAATGGTCACAAGTAAATTGGAACAGATCACCTGGAAATGAATTGTTCAGATCAAGCAATCGTCCCCAAGAAAATCCTGGTAATACAGAAAGCACAATTTTACAGTGCTTTGAAATAAACAGAAGAGAAAGTTTTAGAAAAGCACCTGCACTGCATTTTGACACACACACACCTTTTTATTTTATTTATTTATTTATTTTTGGTCTGGACTAACTGCAGCTCACTCGCATGTTCTTTGTGGGTTCTGACTTCTGATTTCATTGAACTCCCCATGCTTGCAGAGCTGGGGCAAAACCCATTAAAGCCAGCAGAAACATTTTCATCAGCTTCTAGGGGTTTGGAGTCAGGACCTTAGTGCATAATCTTTATACAAACATGTGGAGAGCTATTGTCATCCCATGACTCAACTACACACACCTGCCTGCTAAACACTCTGCATCTGCACATGGGTCAATCCTTTACCTCTCAAATCTTTTCCTCAACTACACAAAACCATATTTTGCAAATTCTGTGCTAATTGTGAGTGCAGACAATTCAGCCACAGAGCAGAAAATGGCTCTTACTGCTAGAAGTCTGGCCAAAAGACAAGCATGGTGTGAGACTGACCAGGGCTTTGCCAGTCCAGTTAAGTGAGCACATATCAGAAGTGTCATTTTATTTTTTCTCCTTCTTGACCAAGCAAATTAAGTGGCAATGAAGGAACCGTCTGCCTTTTGAATCAGCTCAATGATAGATGAGTAACAGAAGGCTTCCCCACAACAAAGAGCACAGCTAAGTGAAGATTCCCATCAGAAATATTTGAATTTGAAATATATCCCATATTTACCAGGGCTGTGTACTAACTGACAAGTGCCTTTAAGGCCATAGGAGACCTCAGACAAAGTCTTCTGCGGTGCACAAAGTATTTTCAGGTAACACCCACCAGGTCACAGGCAGTTGCTCCTCTGTCTGACTGACCCTCTTGCACTGCCCTTGCTTGCCCAGAGGGAAGGGGGATGCCCATAGCAAGCCTGGAGATGCTTTCCCTTTCCCTGTCGAAAACTTTAAAACCTGGAGAGCAGCAGGGAAAAGAGCAGTGGGACAGCTTTCCGCAACGTGCTGCTTAATTTCATCCCTCTAATCTGTAAGGATCTCACTCCTTGGCATATGATGGAAATAATTCAAAGTCCACTCACAAGTTAGTTTTTCCTCTGCAAAGACTCAGAACTATGCAAAATTGATTTAGGGGAATTTCTGCAAGGTAGCCTACAGTATTTCCTATCAGAAACTGTGTCTGTGGAAGTTAATTCATTTAAAGAATGTGAAACCAACTCTGAATTCAGCTCCGGAGGTGCAGGTTTATCAGTCATGTCACCAGCTCTACACATCTCCATTTCTTCCCTGGAAGAGGAGAAGAGCCTGACAGCAGGATGTTTAAGTTAAAATGCACTTTTTGCTGCTCCTCTGCAAGAGGTACTAGACTGGAAAAATCTACATTAACCCAGAGCACTCCTCCAAAAGCTCACCTAGGACGTGAGAGCACAGCCAGCCCAGGCAAGGCCTTGCCCGCAGTGAGGCCTGAAGTCACCGAGCCCACAGAGATGTGGCAGAAGAGTAAGGACACATTTGTTGAAACACAGAGCCTTGGACTGGGACGATTCCTTCCCCACGAGTACCTGGCCTTCAGCTGTGCCCTTCAGAGCACACAGGCCTGGACCACAGCGGCTCAGACCGCACCTCAGCTCAGGCGGGCAGGGGAGCTCAGGGAAGGCCTAATCCTGGCCCCTGGGGAGCATGGCAGGGACGTGCCTTGCAACACACGCGGAGCTCCAGCACCAGGCACGCAACACCCGTGCCAAGCCCTGCTTGCAGCAGCTCCTTTGGCTGAGAAAGGAGGCAGCGAGTGCTCGGTGTGGGCACAACGGCATAGCGAGAATCCCATCCGCTGCCGGTGTAGGACAGCGAGCCCAGGCTGCAGAGGTGGAAACTGCACACAGCACAGAGAAACCTGAGGCAGGTAGTGGCTGTGGGGAACCCTTGGCCGTGTCCCCTGCTGCCACAGGGCCGGGACCTCGCCCCACAGCCCCAGCCACAGGTACCTGCGTGCCCGTTGCGACACGGCGCTTGAAGGCAGCGCTTATGCCAAGAGGCCCGTGAGGACTCATACCTCCGGACTTTTGCACAGCAAGCATTTGCTAGCCCAGCCATAAACCTCTTTAAAAAGCCATAGAGCTTCACAAAAGCTTTCTGTTAATAGACTATTTGCACCAGCCCTGCAGTTTCAGCAGGAGATATACTGTAATAAAACCCATTCTCATGCTATTTCAAAACTCCTCATCAACACTCGCCGCTGCCCTGCTCAAATTTTATTTGCCACGTTACCTGAACAACAAGGGTATGTGCAGTTGCACAAAATGCAAACCGGAGCCCTGGGCTGTTTTGCCACCCACGCAGTTAATTACACCTTTAACAACCCGTTGAGTGCAGAGCACCCAAGCCCTCCCGCGGGAGCAGAGACACAGCGACCGCTTGGCACCAGGCTCCACAGCACGCCGAGGCGTGGCACAGCCCAGCGCCCTGTGTCACAGGCCAGGAGAGAGACGAGCTCATTTCTACAGACCAGGTACTCGTAAGCCTTCATGGCATTGGGGTTTTTCACCCCAGAGCTCCCAGGCACCCAGCCTGGTGGAGCAGATGCAGAGCTTAGCAGACCACAGCAGGACCATGGGGCCCTGCACCACACATGGCCACCCAGCATCGCCCCAGCAGGACAGGATGCAGCACCCAGCAGTCAATGCCCACCAACAGCCCAACACCAAAATAAATAAATAAATAAATAGAAATAAAAGGCTTCTGAGAGCTAACAGCCAACGGCTACCAAATACTCTTTTTTTTTTTTTTTTTCCTTTTGCATATGTTACCTTTAAATTTGACATAAACTTGGCACGTGAAAGACAAAGTTAAGCTTGCATTGTCAATGAGCTGAAGTGCACCAAACAATTCCAGACTTAAAGGAGAACCACTCAAAGGGTTACAACCTGGTTTTGTGATCTGACTGCTTATTCACCACGTTCCTCCTCCAGACAAACTATTTTCTTCTGCCTACCCTACTAAGCTCAAAGGCAAAAGCAGTGCTTGCCAAGGAGAAAGAAAAATAAACATTGACCTACTACAAACCAATATTCATGTCTCTTCTAGGGTACAGTTTCAAGTAGAAGGGATCCGGCCTCTGATTCTGCTTTCTGGAAGTCGTTGCTCCCCACTCTCCCAGTCATTCATCGCAGTCCTTGAGAAATTATGCTTATTTGTATTTGGCACACAGAAATCTCATTCTAATTGAAGGTCAATATGCTTGCACAACTTTCTTAAACCACGAACATGAAGGGCACAGAAGAATTAAGAAAAATATTACCCTTCTAAATAGAGAAGGGCCAATTTTATTATCTGTAAATTGAGAAGAACATGGCTCTTAATACTGAAAATTTATTTCTAATAACGTGGGGGATAAAGGCCTACAAAAGCTCTTTATGTTTGGTCTTTTTTAAAAAAAAAATACAGTTGTACTGTATAAGATGATATGAAGTTACCCTGAACTTTTATCTTGGCTGCTTGCCACTGCTTATTGAGTTTCACGTGTCTTTACTGCCATCGGGCTTGTCCTCTCCAGCAGAGGCTTGGGGAGTGGTGGGAAGGCATGCTAGGAGAAAAAGTTGTCAGCGACCATAAGTCTATAATTGACTGACACAGTCACTTACTTCGCATTACTGCTCTAAGAGCAGCATTCAAGGTAAATCTGCTCTAAGTTGCCCAAACCACGGGTTATTCACCATTCAGATTTCCCCATCCTCTCCGCCTTGCTGAGCTGAGGCTCCCGCAGGCAGCGCTCCACACCAGTGGGCTGTCCTGTGCCACAGACACCCCAGGGTGAGTTTTGGTGTGGCAGGAAGGAGGACCAGCTCCTCCACGTGGGACAGACCTGCAGGTCCCATCAGCTGCCAGGGAGCTTCATGCTGCCCCAGGGCCACCAACGCTCCCCGCAGGAGGAAGCTGAGACCCAGCACCCCACTGCCACCTCCTCCAGGCATTGCAGGTCTGCTTCCCAGCAGCAAACAAATCCTGCTTGGGTTATTTAAAGTTATCCACGTGCTTCTGACATAACCTTCCCTAGTGCCCAAATTCAGTGGGAAGAAACCTAACAACTGGCTGGCTTTGGATCATGTCGGGGCTGCTAATGGTGCAGACCCTGTTTGCGGGGCAGCTACACTGGGACCCAGCACCCCAAAACCATTAGGAGGGGTGGCTGCTGAGGGTTCATGTGGCCCTGCCCCAAAATGCCAGGCCCCACTGATGCAGCCGTGCTACACCCTCACCACCCCATGCCTCCAGACATATCACCTGGCACCATCAGCCCAAGTGCCTGGAGCCGGGCTAACCACAAAGGTATTTCCTGCTGTTGTAGGTCAGCAACCTCAAGGAAACACCCCAACAAACACTGAGGGGGAAGGAAATTCAGTCTTACAGACATCAGTGGGACAGTCACCATCAGGGTTTTATTTCCAGAGTTGATCCCTAAAGGAAGAAGAGACAAGCTAGCTATTTTCAGGGCCTCACGCTCGGTATATTTTTCTCCCAAACAGAAGTGACTCCTCCTGGGCTGGAAATAGGCACGGCAGCATTGCCAAAACCACTTCCACAGATCTGTACATGCAGGCGCCCAGTGCTGAAGGCAACAGGTTCCCATCAGAGGCTCAATCCACCAGTGCTGGAGTCAAGGAAACTTTTACCATTATCAGTCGCAATCAGGCACCTCTTCACGAGTTTCTCCTCAAATAGCACGAGCCTATACGGAGTGAAATTTCTTTTATTATTGGATGTCTAGAAAGGGGCATTCATGTACTAGTTTAACCAGCTCATTGCCAGCTTCTCTCTTCAAATTTATGATTCATCTCAAGCAAGACTGACACACAAAACATGACTTCAGCTCATTCAGTTTAGGCTAGGCATCCAGCTGAGCGTGATCCAATTTGAGACGAGAGCTTGACATATCCTACCTATCCATATTTTGGATGTATTAAAAATAAAAAACCTGGAGAAATCTGATGGAATGAACTCAGACTTCAAGGTAATGTTTTATGAGGTTATAAAAAAAAAAATCTCTGAAGAAAACTTGTTTCTCAGGGTAATTCACCCAGCTCAGCGCAGCACAAAGAAAAAGAAAAGTAATTCATTCACATCAGAGTTGGGACCGAGCCACAACCTTTTGAAATGGATCCAGATCTCTTCCCCCTCTCCCCCCCCCCCCTTCTTCAGTAGGGCAACACACGTGGTTTTACTCTGCCCCAGCAGAGAGACAGTGCAGTGGTGGCACTCAGGGCTGGGTTTGCATCTCATATCCCCAGCAGGAAGGATGAGGTGATCAGTCCTTGCACTGGTCCTTGGCCACCACCGTGCTGCCCCTGTCCTGCTTTCTAGACTGTCGTACATGCACTCATCCCTTCTGTTAAAAGGCAAGGAGCAATGCTTTCCTCAGACTTCTGGATATTTTAATCCATCTCAATATCACTTTACAGACACCATAAATCAAGCAGTCCCCTCCCCCCCCCGCCTCCTTCCCTAATATTTTATAAACTGTGGAAAGCTGGAGTATTTTTGGCCCAACAGCCTACATACTCCATAATAAATGCCTCTTGTAACATTGCTTTGTTTTATCAATAGTGCTAGACTTCTTAATGGGGTTCTAAGCCCATGACTATCAAAGTCTGTCCTTTTCCCTATTTATTTTTACTGTGAGGAACAATGATGCTCTTACAATGACCAGCACAGGGTAACAGAGGCCGGTACCTGGTAATTGAAAACCTCAGGTGCTGGCCAGCCAGTGCCATAGCCCAAGGGGCACACAGCCCACGGCCACCGCTGCTGGGACCCCACACGTCCTGCACGAGGGGCTGGGCTGGGGGACCCTGCTCCTCTCTGGAGCTGCGTGGGTGGAAACAGCCCCCAAAGGGCATCGCGGATGGATTCGAGGGAAGGAAAAAAAACACAAAACAACTCCAGCCAGGGTAGTGCAAGGTTGGCTTGCCTTCAGGAAATGCCTGGTTGTATGCAGCAGCTGTGGTGCGAGTAGTACAACAAATTCACTTACTGAATGACAACAGCTTTATTGGCAAGCCAATTCAATTAAAGCCACTGCAACCAACAAAGTCGCAGGCAGCGCTCGCTGCATAACGAATATGGAATCATGCCTACGTTTCCCCAAGTGCCCTCAGCCCTCGCTGTCCCTCTGCATGAGAGGGAAAGGGATGAATGAATTAGGCTCAGATGATGGTAATTAATGGCTGGCTGTCAGAGAGGCATTTTGTCGGCCGGCGGTCGGGAGCTCGGTGCCGCAGATGAAGTCCCGCGCTGCCCGGGCAGGGCGGCAGCCGCCCCCCGCCATGGTGAGCGCGGGGGAAGCACGGTGCTGCTTCGCATTGATCAGCACGGGGCCGTATCGATAGGCAAATAACACCTCCATTTTTCATTTTTGCAAAATACAGCCTGCGGGCTACGGTCACGGGAAACTCGCGCTGGAGCTCTGACATGAGCTCATTATGAAAAAGGTATACTTAATGCTGGGCTATGAACAAAATAAATATTTTTATAAAATATACATAAGAATTCATTTTAGCCTTCGGTAAAATAGATAAAAACCTGGATTTTTCTTCTTTTTTTCTTTTTTTTTAGCAGTAGAACTTTGCTTTCTACAGCAAGATTTCACTTCAGACCTCCCCCGCACACACATGCACGAGTAATTTCCTGCTGTGGCTGAAGTCACCAAGTCTTCCTTGTATGCTGTAGCATGACAAGGCCCGAACTGCGCAGGGCTTGGTCCTGCCCTGCAGCACCGACAGGGTGCTCTCCCACAGGTTTCAGTGGTGGAAGGATGGGGGCCTTACTTCCAAGCTCCAGAGACATCTCACGGAGCTTCTCTCCTCAACTCACTGATAAACAAGGAGCAACAGGGTACTGCAAGCATCCGTACAAAACCCTACCATGCTGAAGGCGGGGTAGATTTGGGCCACACAGAGAGCTCAGCCCAGCATGCAGAGCCTGCCAGCACCCACCTCATTGCACAGAGCTGTTTCTTTCCTAGCAGAAGGGGAATTCATCTTCAATATTACCCCACAGACACGTTTACTTAGTCATCACAAAGCAGCAACCTCCAATAGGCATTGCTCCTTACCAATAACCCACAGTTGTTTATTACCGGCACCAACACCTCATTTCCCACCCCCACCGGTGGGATCTCATGGCCAAGCCCACGCTGGCCCAGCATGAGGCTCAGCAACATGCTCACTGCCAGCATCTGCACCTCCAGGCACTGTGAGGGCAGGAAATATCAGCAGCCAGAGGAGCAGCAGAGGCAAGGGATCCTCCCTCAGATGCTTCCCATCTCCTCAGCACAACAAAACCCACCAGGTAAAAGGCATGGGGCCCACCCACACCAGGTTTCATTAATCATTTTTTTTTTTCCACCATGGAAAGAAGAAACCCTTTACACATGTTTTTCACCATCCCTTTCTGCCCCTTGGTCCCCCAGGGCAGTGCTGCCTCAGCAGGCTCGGGGCTGAGCACCCCCAAATCCCACACGTCCCATCTAACGCAGCATCACCAGCACGGAGATGAATGGAGTTCAGAGCAGCGACCAGAAGGCACAGGCTGTTTCTGGGCCTTTCTGACTATCATGCTATGAAATAAAATCTCTTTTTAAAGAACGCCAGTGAAATTGCCCGGTTGCTTTCTGTGTCAAAGTGACCAATACTTTCTGCGCCTCTGGGAAAGTAAAACTGAAGAAAGCATCATTCATTTGGACATTCATTATGTGACTCGTTATTGTACATTAAACATTTGTATCTTTAAAATAATGGCCTAGCTATTACCAGCCACAAGATTCCCACTTCCCAGTTCAGTTCAAAGATTAGGGCAGCGGCAAAGCTCCAGCAAGGTGACACCAAACACTTAGAGGGCTGTTTTCAGTGGAAAACATTTCTGTTTTGTTTGTGTCACAGAAAAACACGCGCCTTGTCATTTCCAGACAGTACTTCAATATTCATTAAGCAGCACGCTAATGGCACAAGCTTTAATCACTCAGACATGGACTGGTGAGATGGCTGAGGGCCTGCAGGAGTCAAGGATGATGCTTTAATGGACGGACTTCGTTGTTCCAGCTCAAGTTCCCCAGAAGCTAACGCCGGGTGCCCCACGCCGGAGGTGGAAGGGCACGAGGAGAGGAAGGGGTAGCCGGAATGAGCTGGAGACACCCTTGTGTTTCCTCCCAGCCGGTGGCACCAGCCTGGCCTCAAAGCAGAAGTGGGCAATGTGGCGGCAGTGCGGGCCAGGCCAGGCCGGCAGCGCCATGCAGGCCCGGCCGGTTCCTCATGGCCTGGGGGAGCAACCCCGGGGCACCGCCATGCCAGGCCGCAGCTGCCACCAGGCTTTTCGGACAGATCCAGCCAGGGCTAGCAGGGATTTGCCAAAATAGTGAACAAAGCTGACTATAGCGAGGGTTTCTGGAGGGGAATAGACCAGGTCTGTGCTGCCTTCCAGTACAAGGTGATGCGGCCTCACCAAGGGAAGGGACCCCAAGGACTGGTGGTGCTGGGGACACCCATGGAGGGGAGGGGATGGGGGCTCGGGACCAGGAGTGCCAGGCTGCTGCAGGAGCAGGGCCTGCCGGGCTCTTCCAGCCCCCATTACAGAGGCCAGCCCGCCTCCCTCCAGCCCCGTGCACCACATGCAGAGCTGGGACGGAGCCCATCTCAGGCGAAATCCTGCCCTGTGGCATAACGGGTCTCAGGTTACCACATTTGCTTCTGCAAGGTCCCCTACTACTTCCCTAGGGCAGAAGGGAATTAATCCACCATGGTTTCTTCCCTGACTCACCAGAGAGGGAAACACCGGCCATGTGAGAGCACAGGGGGAACGAGAATGCTCCCTCTCAGTACTAACAAGAGGCACCACTGTCCCCGTGTGATACGGATTGGTGCTTTTCATTAATTTTGCAGCATTTAGGGATCTTCAATGAACCTTGGGGGTAAGCACACTTGGTGTTGTACAAGCACTGACACCCCCACATGCCAGGACCCTGGTCCAGGCAAACCTGAGCTCACAGGCTTTGAGCAAGCAGCCCCCAAAACAGTCCTGCCAGAGACCCCAAGAGTTTTACCCACCACAGCACTAATAAAGTATGTGACGGCGATTGCCAGGTACTGGTAGGAGGCAGCTTCTGCCAGGACAATGGAGCAACACAACTTCATGCAATTTACACACTGGCACAGGCCCTGCCTCCAGCTCTAGAGGTACATCTTTAAAAAATAAAATAAAAAAATCAATGCAATCCTGCACACTCACAATACCCAATCTATTTGTCTTATACAGATGAAAGGCTAAGTTGAGCCCGTGGTGCCAAGGAGCACAGAGGCTTTCCTAAAATCTAGCACATAGTCCATGCTAAGCTCTCCCCTCCAGCAAACGTAGGAGAAAGGCAGCATAACATAAGAGATATTGCAAGTTCCACACCATGGACATGGGGAGATCCTCTAGAGGCAGCACATGCTCACAGGGAGCTACACGATGGCAGCCTAAAAACACCAGGTACTGGCCTTGAACTTGCGCAGGTGAAGCACAAGAGAGAAGTTTTGGAATAAAACACAGGGGTCACTCACCTGCCCCACAGCAGAGCTGCTCCCCGCAAGCATCCAGGCGTCTCCACCACGAGCAGCAGCGCAGTCAAGGAGGTGCACGAGCCGAGAGGAGGTGTCACCTCTGGCTCAGCACCCCACACAGGTGAAGGTCCTTGTAAAAGTCTCAGTCCCTCCTAAGCCAGGCCAGGCCACCTTCAGCTTTCTTACAAGGACAGGCCCCCACTCCCTGGTACTGGGAGTGCTCAGGGTGCCTGCAGCTGCTGGCCCTGCTCTGCACAGACCTGGTGTAGTCCTGGAAGTTTCTGGCACCAATGGCAGCTCCAGAGAGAAATCTTTCTGAGCCATCCAAGCGTGAAGACCACAGGCATTGTCCGCCCAGATCCAACCAGAAGAAGCAAAGCCGGTTCAGGTGCACGTACAAGGTTGTGGCAACTAGATCAGACCACGTATGGAGGCTGGTACCGCAGCACCACCAGTCCCAGGAGCCCTTCCACACACAACACCAGCTTCTAGCACCCAAAAAGCACCAAGGTAAAGCCAAAACTGTACAAGCCAAGCTGCTACAGGAGCACAATCTACCACTGCTCACAGCAAGCTCAGCCCTGGGCTGCTGCTGGCCCGTGCTGTTATGAGGTAGCCCTGTGTGATCAGCAGCAGCTGGAGGGGACGTGCCCTGGGTGCCCCACCGAGCAACAAGCCAGAGGGCCACAGCTGAAGCCCACCTGCAGCCTTCTCCTCCTAACACCTGGCTGTAATGTAAAAATTGCGAAGTCGTGCTGCAAAAAGGGGTGGTCCCTGCTATCACCTGCAACAGTTGTTATTTGTGCTGGTGGTCAGTGCCCCATCGCTGAGGGCACAGCGAGTGCTGGCATCCCCCTCAGCTCCATCCCCTACCGTGGAGCAGCGATGCTCCCCCAGCTCTAGCGTCCCTCCCTGCCACATTCCCTAGTGAAAATATCAAGGGGTGCTGCGTTCTGGGGCAGCACTCTTGTCTTTTCCTCGTGGAGATGGCTGCGTTGTCAGCATGAGGGTCCTCATCTTCCCACCCAGTAGAAACTCGTCTGTGATACCAAGAAACCTCTGCCACGCGGGGGCTTGGGTCGGGCGGTGGGGAGGCTGAACTCCTCCACCCCGGGGCTACACCCCGCTCACCCAGGGTTTATTTCTTTAACCAACACCATTGATTTTTCTGGTAAACCCCACTCTGTGTGTCACAGGCGCTCCCCAGGACTCCCCGATGGCTCACACGTTTTTGAAAGAAAGCTGCCCCAGCCCCAGGGAGGGGAAACCAGGCCCCCCTCCTCCCCCCGGTGTTTCAGGGGGGATTTCTTTGCCCCCTCCTCTGCTTTCTGGCGGTGCAGCAGGTCCATGCCCGGCCCCAGCACGCGGAGCTGTGCTGCAGCCTCGCCTGCCCGCTCTCGTAAATCACTCGGGATGGCCGCGCGGCACCTAATTACACATTAACTAAACATCCTCTCCTCTAACAAAAATACACAATATACACATGGCTCGTCAGAGCTTAAAGGGATCCGGAGTCTGGGGCGCTGAAGGTATTCATCGGCAGCGTTTGGAGAAAGGAATTTATAGGAGGCATTTGCTGAGCTGAAACTCGCTGCCCTTTGAGCAACCCTGGGAAGGGAAGGGAAAGAGCAGAGCAAACAGGCACAGCGTGCTGAGGAAAAGTTAATTTTTTCCATAGGGCTCTCCCATGTGCCAAATTATTCCTTAATGTAGAGTCCCCGGCACTTTGATTTAACCAACGTGCACCCCTCGCCTCTCCGAGATGTGGCCCTGCACTGCACCACTCCCTGGGCTCAGCCGTGGGGTGTGAGGGGCTCTGGGTGACCACGCTGGGCTGTGAGTCAGCAGGGCAGGAGCCCAAGTACCTGGGTAATTAGCTCCAGGTTAATTGTGTTTGCTGCAGCTCTGTTACTGGAGCCAGGTGGGGATGCAGGCACAAGGATGAGGTGTGTGTGCCAGAGGAGCGACCGAGCCAGAGATAACAAATATATTTGGTAGCTACCCCACTTCTAACAAGCAGGAAAGCAACGTCGTGAAAAACAAATCTTCCTCAGCTCTCCACACAGCAGCGTAGGAGGCGCAGGATGCCCAGGTACACACACAGTTATTTGTGAATGCACGCATTTTTTTCCCCTCTGGTCTACAGCATCAGAAAGTTGATGGCAACACCTAAGTGACCATGAGCTCCCCCAGGGGCATTTCGAACACAGCACTGTGCCCGAGGAGACGGGGCGTGCAGGGAGCGAAGGCATCAACCTCCTTGGGGAGGAGAGGTGCTGCTGTTGGGGAGCACGGGTGCCGATGGGCTGGGAGCAGCTGCTAAGCACACGCTGCTGGCACCCCAAACCCTTCCTTGCTCATCTCCAGGATGGCTGCAGAGCATCCCCTTGGCAAGGCACCCATGGCCCGGCTGGGAACACCCTGCCTCGCCTTGTGCCAACAGCTGCCAAGCTGGTGGGCAGGGCACTGCTGAGCAGGGCAGGAGGCAAATTAAAAATAATAATTAAAAACAAACAGGTAGCACTGAGTATTTCTAGGAGCCCCCCGGACACTGTTGCACTGCGTCACTGCCCCAGGCAGCTTTTACAGCCCTGTTCATAACTCATCCCCCGGCGGGGCTCTGCCTTCCGACGCATCCTGCCTTATCGCAGGCGGCTTGCAGGAGGGCGACGGTGTAGAAACGTGTTTGTGCCTTTCCACGCTGCAATTGCAGACCGCAGGGAAGAACATCCTTCCCCATTTCGCAGCTAGGCAGTGACGAAACCGCAGCTGCCATCGCGGGGCCAGGCACGGGAGGATTTCCCCCGCGCAGATGGCCGCCCCTGTCCGGGACCGCGGTTTGGTGGGGAGAAGCTGGGGCATCTGATAAAGAGCCCGGGTGGGCAGCGTCGGCGAGGAGGCGCTGGGGAGGCTCCTGCATCACGGGGAGGGAGGGCAAGGCTTCGGGGATGTGGTGGGAGCAGCATGGAAAGTGCTCGCTGCGATACTGGCACGTGAAATAAGTACTCAGTTGCCAGAAAGGGGCTTCTGCACGGGCCTAGGGCTGATCCCAGGTCAGGGTTTGGGGTGCAGGAGGAGAGGAAAAGGTTTTCCCAGGAAAGCTGTGGGGTTTTGGGCCCCCAGCGGGGCAGTGCCGGGCTGTGACCCAGCGGTGATGCTGCAGGGCTGGGTCCAGCCCCTCACCCAGCCCAGCTCCATGCCCAGAGGGGGCAGATGCCCCAAGCAGGCGCCCTCGAGAAAAGGGACCCCGAGAAAAGGGACCCACGGCTCCCGGGTGCCCTGCGGCCAGCACCAGGCTCAGGCTGCTCCTGCCAGCCCCTGACCCACGCCCAGCATCCCCCCCGCTGCCCTCAGCAGCTTCTCCACGGCCTGACTTCTTTTATTGTCATTATAAAGTACACAGCACAAAAAAAAAGCACACACAGGCCAACTTCGGAGGTATTCCCACTAGAAAAATTAAATACTCATAATGCTTTCTTAAAGTGAATTGGGCCCCTTAATTTGCATCTTATAATAAGGATGTTATCACACTGGTTTATGGCTCAGCTCTTTAGTTTCTCTCTCTCAGGGGCTAGATTTCCCCTCATGAGTTCAATATACGTCTGTGAACTAATATAATTCTTACAACGCTTTTCTCCTGCGCCAGCCCCGCCACCTTTACGAGGCCGGGGTCGTTCTTGCCGCAGGTTGTGCCCAGGAGCCAGCCCAGCCTCAGCCAGGCTCTGGCGGATCCCTTCCCTCCTTACACCCCGCCGAGGGCACCCTCCCCCTCTTACATTTAGCTCAATTATAAAACCTTGTCACTAGAATATTAAAATAATGTTTAATACACGGGAGGGAATAAAGCTGGTCCGGAAAATGCATAATTTCCCGGTGACTGCTCTGCCCATGCCACGAGCTCTCACCTCCCGCCCTCCCTCCTGACCCGTTCCAGCAATGCTGGACCCATGCTTCCAAGTGTTACCAGTTCCTAAAAACCAGAAGACCCCAAACCCACAGCCCAGGAGAGCCAGCAGGACCAGGGAAGGCAGCAGCACCCCAGCTGCACCCCGGGCATCTTTGGACGCATCCAAGGCGCTGCCGACCGAGGGCAGCGAGGCGGGGAAGCCTGGTCCCTGCCTCCACACCTCCAGGGATCCTTCGTCGCCTCCACCCCTTATTTTACAGGGCAAGGCCCTGCTCTAAATCAGCCTCTCCCCTCCCCTGGAACCACTACAGCTGCAGAAGGTTTTGGGAGGGCAGGGGGACGAAGGGGGCTCAGGCTGCTGGAGGGAGGCTGCCTGGCACGCCAGAGCCCGGCCAGAGCAAGTTGGTTGCTGCTGTTGTGGGCTGCTAGGAGATAAAACCATCCACCTTTATTTATATCATTCATTCTAGAGCCTCAGATGTGCATCAGTCGTACATTGGGCAGAGCCTGCATTCACCCCTTTTTTTTTCTCTTTTAATTAAAGGTTTAATTTAAGAGGGCTGTGCAGATTTATCTGCGATGAGAGGTGCTAAACCTCGCCCCTCTGGAGGGGGCAGCATTACCTGAGCCCACCCTGCTGAAAACAGAGGGCCCAGCTGCTCCCCGGCCCCGCAGTGCTGTAGGACAGGACAGAGGCTTCGCCGCTCTCCTGAGCCTTTCCCTTCCCCAAGGAGCTCCGCCGTGTGGGACACGGGGCAGGCATCGCAGCCATTGCCCGGATTCACAAGGAGTTTCCCCAAAAACCACAGCTGAAATCACAGTACACCCGTGCCACTGAAGGCAGTCCTACATAAAACATGGGAAAAAAAAATAGCCTGATAAGATCATCCCAGGGAACCCACATCTGCCGACCCCTCCCTCGGTGGCCCTTCACTGTCCGTATGGGAGCTGGGGCTGCCTAGGGAGTGGGATCCCTACCAGGTGGGATCCCTACCAGCAGGAGCTTCTGGGGAGAGGAGAGGATTTAAGACTGGGAAGTGCCGAGGCTTTAATAAGGAGCTGGTGCAGGCAGCCCTGCCCCTAGCCAAGGGATCTTCGGGGTGTTGGCCTGGGTAAGATCTGGAGGTCTTCTGGTGGATCAGGTGGACAGCCTGGTGAGAGGCCACGTCTTTCCACGGGGACCCAACAATTTCAAGATGCTGTAAGATGTCACAATAACTTGGAAGGCAGTAGCCCCGTTTTTATCAATAGCAAGTATTTATTAGCCTCCTTGATTTACAGTACGTTTCTGAAAGTCATCACTCCATCACATTCTTCAGCACGGGGCTGAGTTGGTTTTCTTGGTCAACACAATATGGAATATAGATCGGAATATTAGAAGCCAAATACAACCTTCATTTTGCATGCACAAATCCCACCGACGGGAGGCCCATAAATGAGTCCTGTATAGCCCTTAGACACATGCATCGGCAGGCACCGGGAGAGGTGGGAGCCTCTGTACATCGCCGCTGGAACCCAGAATCGCCACGGGAGAGCCACCAGGGCTGGAGCAACCTAGGAGAGCATCACCCCAGCCACCAAGAAGGTGGGAATCCACCTGAACATCTTGCTTCTAGGTTTTGACATGAAAAAGCCATCCATCCATCCATCCGTCCATCCACCCACCCGTCCGTCCATCTGTCCGGCTGCAGCATTTCCCTGCTGCTCACCCAGCGGATGGCACGGACGCATCGCCCCGCACCAGCCCTCCAGCCCCTCCGCCACCACCCCACGGCCAGACCTCTCCTTCCTTCCACCCTCACCGTGAGGCTTTGGCCACCAGCCGTCTGTCTGTCTGTCCGTCCCGCTGTCCGTCTGTCCATCCCGCCCGTGCCACGCGGGCTGGGAGCGGAGCCCCGCCGGTGCTCCCAGCTCGCGCAGCGCTCATTACGGGAGGCCAGGCGAAATTAAATTGGGGCCCACTGCTCCTGCCATCTGAACTTCATCACCGCTAAAGACGCAATAAAAGTAATAGCAACAAGGAACAAGCCTCTACCAGATGTGTAACTCTATCCAGCCAGATTAAGGAATAAGGGCCGTATTTTTGGAGCGGTTTTCTTTGTGTTTTTGTTTTATTTTTCCCCCTGTAACTTCATCTTTCCGTAAGAATAACTGATTATTTTGAGACCCCCCGTAGAAGATGGATGCTGAGAGGGTGATTTCTGGGGGGGGGGGGGAGGGGAGGCTCAGGGTGTGCCACGATGGGGGCCAACAAGCTCTCAAGGACTGGGATTTTGGATCATGTACAACGTACAGCTGAACGATAGCCCAGCCAGGGCTGGGTTGGGGAAGTCTGGGGGCAGAGAAAGCAGAGAATAAGACGAGAAGCAAGCGAGGTACCACTCTGATCCCGGAGGGTTGTTTAGCTTGCTCCTTGGTCATAATTTTCCTAGCGGGATCACGCACGGTGTCACAGCAGCCCCCTGCCAGAGCCGCAGCAGTGCCCAGCAGATTGCCCACGGCCCCTGAGCCGTCCCTTACACCTCACAGCCCGGGGACCTGCAATGCTTCAGCACCAGAAATGGAAGCAGAAAGCACTGGATAAATGGGACGTTCAGGACAAATAGGATGTTCAGCAAAATAAAGTCCAGCAGGAGCTCGCCCCCCCCTCCCCTTGCTCTGCTGCCGCTGAGGAACGCCGAGCCCCAGGCCCTCCAGGCCGCTGGCGTCACTTGGCAGGATGAGATGGGACAAAGCTGGGATCAAAAAGAGAAGCGGGGCTTTGGGGGTGGTTTGCTGCTGCTGGCAGATTATTAGATCTGTTTTCAGGTCATTTTGGAGAGACTGTGCCCAACAGGCGCCTGCACGCCCGCGTGCCCCCCTCTCTACATTGTAAAGAGGATGTAACCTGGCTGCTCCTTGAATCCGAAACACACATTATTTTGAAAGCAAAATTTAGGTTAGACTTCACAAGAGACTTGACCTTTGCTGAATTGTAGTGTCAGGAAAATGGGCTTAGAAATAAAAAACAGCATGGACAAAATGCCTTCATGTTTGAGAGCAGCTTTTCAATCCCCCAAATCAAAGCTAAGCTACCTAATTCCCAGGCACCTTGCTCAGCTCAGCCTATCGCTGCCCGCTGCACGGAGAAACACAGAGCTCTTCTTTGGGCTGTTAAATCTCCCACACCTCAGGGTACAGCCGCAGGCTTTGCAACAGCCAGGTCCCAGCCAAAACCCACAAACAAGCCAAGAGAAGGGGAGCCACCCCTGCAACAAGCCACGCGTGGCGGTGGAAGCCCGCACAGCCCCGCTGCAGCCTGGTGCTGAGGCAGTGCCGCTGCTTCGTGCGCGCTCAGGATGGACCCAGCGGGCAGGACGTGGCCACGAGCACAGGAGAGCAGCCCCAGGGCCTGCAGGAGGCTCCCAGCGTGGCCATTACGCGTATTTAATCACTTTAAGGCAACACGTAAAGTCTGTGGGTGTAAAACTCCTGGTAGGTGCGGGGTTTTAACGCCCATGTTACAGAACAGACATCTTAAGGGCTGCTTCAATTTACCTTCAGTGCTTAGGACAAGGATCCACACAGCTTCTCCCTGCCACGCTCAGCTGCTCGCCAGGCGCCTGCACCAGTCCCTGCTTGGTCATTTTCTGCTCTTCCCAGGAAAAGCCCGGCCCTGGCTCCCACTGCCACAGGGCAGCGATGCCCACGGACCCAGCCCGCTGCATCCGAGCACTGAATGCCCAAGAGGCTGCTTCAGCAGCACCACAAAGCAGCTGCAGAACTGAGTTTTGCCTGCACTCAGACAAAGCAGAGCACAAAGACAGACCCAAGAGCTGCTCAACACCCTCACAGCTGCCACTGGTTGCAACCATTGGGCCAGGTGCTCCTGGTAGTGTGATTTGGAGACGAAGCAGAGCCCCGTTAGCCCTGGTGTGGCACAGCTGCGGAGGTACCCAGGTGGGGCTGCAGCTGTTCACAAAAATTACATAAAGAAGAGCAACACCAGGCAAAGGCAAAGCCACGGTACCTATGGCTGGTTTGCCAGGAGAGCGTGGCCCCGGCCAGGTGTCTGGCTGGGATGTGAAGGACGTGAGCGAACTCGCAGGCAGAGCTCGGTGACCGAAGCAGCAGGCTGGTCCCTGACCTGGGGCTGCTGCGTCCTGCCCAGACCTGCAGCGGGTGTCCTGGCAGCCCTGCAGCGGCTCCGCTCGCTCTTTAACCAAATAAGGCCCATTCCTGCTCTCCGGCACAGTCGCCGGGAGCTGCAGCCTATAAATCCCATCCAAGACAGCAGGGAAGCACGCACTTAACCCATCTTCTGTTCCGCAAAGCACTTGGGCCCCAAACCAGGGAAATCCTGGAGCGGGTGCTTTGCTCGGAGCAAGGCAAGCGGGCTCAGAGGGGACAGCGGGATGCGAGGACACCCGATGGCACTGAGGGGAGCTCCCCGCCACCACCCAGCCAGGGCAGGGCTTCGCTTCACCTGGCACTGACCAATTCTCTGCAGCAAGACCATTACCACTCCCCAAACCCGCTGGCTCGGCCGCAGTTTGACGAGCAGTGACAAGACAGAGGCAGTCCCTGATGCCCCCCACCCCAAAAGCACAGGGTTTAACAGCAGAAATGCAGTACAGCAGCCGGCGGCAGTCAATCGTACGCGGGCGGCGTTGGAGCGCTCGGCTGGCCACGGCTCGGGGTCGCGGCCGTGAGCCCGGTGCCCGGGGGGGGGCCCGATGTGGGGCCACCAGCCCACGGTGCCCAGGTGGGGACACGGGTGCTGCCGCTGTCCCCGCGGACTCGGCGCTTTGCTCCTGCGGGCAGCACAGTCACACGGGGTCACGGCAGCTGCCCGGCCCTGGCCAGCCTGCTCACACACTACAGATTAAAGAAAGAGCGAACAAAACCTATAGCTCCAGCATTTATTATGGCGATTGCCCACCCGCCACGGACCTACACCGTGTTTTATTTTGAATTGGTAACGTGAGGTGCACCTTCTAAGAAATGGAGATAAACAACAGGCTGGGTCCTCCACGCAGGATCAACACGAGAGCAAGACAGTCTTCTCCACGGGGACAGGAGCCAGTCAAAGCCACTGCGAAGCCCTCGACCTCGGTGGGCGCTTTTGCTTTTCGTTTTTAGAAAAAGAAATAAACAAACAAAAACCGAACGGAAAGAAGTGCTGTACTCTATTACAAAATATAAATACGATAGTCCTGCGGGCAGGAGGAGCCTGGGGAGCGCTGCCTTCGGAGGGGACGTCTCGGGTGCTCCAGGGACGCGGCGAGCCAGCAGGATGGAGGCCACCTCCGGACACCACGCCACCACCGGCCGCTGGCCCCAGCTTCACCTCCTCTCAGAATTTAAGTGCTCTTGAACTTCCGTCCGAAAACTGCCAGGCGTCCGGGGCTCCCTGGGCGCTGCGCCAGCCGGGGGGGTACGTCGCACCTAGAGAGCATGGGGACAGAGGAGAGGAGAGGTGTGACACGGCCCAGGGTGCGACTTCCTCCGATATCTTTCTGTTCTGACCCTTTCCTTAGCAGCTGGGGGTGGGACACGAGGGGGCCCTTTCTGCCCGCTGGCCGCGCCGCCTCCAGCCCGCCGAGCACCACCCTCGCGCCTCGCGGGCACGGAGCACGTCCAGCACCGCGGGGACGCACAGATCGCCCCGGCAAGGAGCCCCTGGCCTGCACTGGGGCTCTGATCACACAGGGACGGAGCCAGCCTGCCTCAGGACTGCCCCTGGACTTTCCCCAAACCTCGCCAACCTCCCCCGGCACCCAGGGAGCAGCCAGGTGCAGAAGAGAGCCCCCCAGGCTGTCGGTGTGGCTGCTGCACCGCCAGGCCAGTGCCTGGGGTGGCTCTCCCCAGCCCACCACACTTGGAGTACCGCATGTCGCCTAGCATCACGTGCGGCAGGGAACC